CAAATTATTAAATACCTTGAAAATATCATCTGTGACCTGTGGTTGGTGTTTTGTTTAATCCTCAAAGCAGTACTGTGAGATAATTTGTATAATGGTAGAGCAGGGTAGACAGTGATCAGTAGAGCTACAATTAAGTAATTAACCAGATGATACAGTTGATAAGTGGTGGTAAAATCTCAACTTGAACACAAGCTTCCATTGACTCTAAATATTGAATGCTTTATACCAACCATATTACTCTGGTGCCTTTCTCTTTCTCTCAGATTCCCCAGAACGCCTACCACAGTGGCAGGCACATTGTAAAAGAATTTTAACAAATATTTCTTTAAATAAATAAATTCAATGTTATAGGCCCTCAAATTTAATAAATCTCTGGTGTAAATCTATATTCTTGAAAGGCTTTTATATCATCCCTTCCTTGAATTTTTTCTCTATGCCTACTTTGCTTTTTCCTGATTTGTATTACCTCATTTTTTCTCTGATGCTGTCAAGGACCATCTCGGCACCCCGAGAAGGAAGCTTTTGTTTACAAAGTTATAGCACAACTTGTGCTACCATTTAGCCACTTGAGAATTTCTGGCAGAAGTCTTATGAAGAGCATGACTTACCGTAATTTGAGAGAGGTTACTGTTTTATTTAACTTTATGGGAAAAACAATTATCAGTTCAGACTAGAACTTCTTGTGTAATGGGGATTTAGACTCAATTGTCTGTACATGTAGTCTAAGCTTGGGCCCTAATTTCCTCCAGCCGCCTTAGCGAGGTTTATTCCTCTTCCAGAAAGACTTCTGTTAGAGCATACATGCATTCTGTTTTCAATTGACACTAAAATAACAAAGGAAGTCATGGCTTTGTTTTCTGATCTAAGACCAAACTGACTGATGCTTTACTCTCACAAATGTCTTGTTTTTGTAAGTACATGGCTGGGGCGTAGACACAGAATGAATGCTACAGCTTCCTTATATCCTATACAAGGTAACAGAAGTGTTTTAGGGAGGAGAGGGTCATCAGCACCATCAAAAATAGCACAGGGATCACTGTGGCCAGACTATGCCACACAAATCCATTAATAGTTGTGACCTTTTATTGAGACAGCAGATGTAATTACTACTGAGGAGAGAAGATGTAAGAAATCAGCCAAGGTTAGAAATGAGGTTCTGAGAAAAAGAAAAACAGTGCATGGTAGAACTCTATTTAAATCAGTCTCTTAAACCATGAAGAGGGACTCTAAGAACTTCCAGTGAGCATCTTTCCAAAAGCAAAGATGGGTTTTGCCAACTCAGCCATCCCTCAGATGTGTCTCTGATGGCCAAAACTGGAGGCAAGTAGGAAACTGGAAAGTTTGCCCCATCCTCCCCTCCTCAGGGGATGAGCTAATCAGAACACGGAGAAGAGAAGGATAAATGAGCACTCCAACCCTCTAACCATTAGTGAATTCAGAGATCTTTTATTTGTTTCATGTAAACAGCAATATTACTGTTAGCTGTACTATTAATGTCAATATCAATACTCTGATAGCCAAGAAAGCACTAAACACAAAATTATGGCTTAAAATAGGGGACCTGCCCAGTAAACTTAATAACAAAATATGATTTGGATTAGGATTGGAATCCCGTAAGCATTCTCTAAACAGAAAATCTCTCTAAGTAACAATTGATAACTGCTCTTGAAGGACTCACCAAGATGGCTGAGGGAAGATGTAAGCTTGTCCAGAAAAAAACTAATTCAACATAGAAAAGGAGAAGGCTACACTCCTTGACTCATAGCAACCAGAGCTTAGAGATTTAATATGTGCATTCATAGCTACCACTATAAGCATAAGACTCTAAGCTGTTAGAGTTTTAACATTCCTCTCATTTAACAAGAAAGAAAAGCAAGACCAGAAATGGGAAATGATTTTCCCAAAGTTACTTGGCTAGTTAGTGGCTGAGTCAAATTTAAAATTATGATCTCCTGACTTTTCACTCAGTTATCTTTCCACAAAACTTCCATAAAAGGGTTAATTCTCCCTGTGAAGGACATGACTTAAAAGGACTGAGACGCGCACACATATTTTTGATGGAAGGAAGGTGGAGTAAGGCTGGTGCATAGCAGAAATATCCCTGTGTGGTTGAAGAGGCCAACATGGGAAGAGCAGGCCAGGTGCACCCAAAGGGAGTGGGCACCTATGAGAAGGGACCATGACATCAAAGACAAACAACACACACAACAATTATATTTAGGCCTGGCATGTGCACTGCACATCCATGAGAAATAAAGACAATTCCAAACTTAAAAAAATGAAACATGCATTTTCTTAAATATGTATTTTTTAAATTTCTTTATTTTACTTTAGGTGCATACTATATCTGGCATTTCTCCCCATGTTATCCCTCCCCACCCTCCCTATCCTCTGCTGTCTCTCCCCTGCCCCAGCCAACTGCCCCCAGAGTGTGATGCTCCTCTCCCTGTATCCACATGTTCTGGTTGTTCAACACCCACCTATGACTGAGAACATATGGTGTTTGGCATTTTGTTCTTGTGTCGGTTTGCTGAGAATGGTGGTTTCCAGATTCATCCAAGTGTCTACAAAGGATACAAACTTATTGTTTTTTATCTGCATAGTATTCCATGGTGTATATGTGCCACATTTTCTTTGTCCAGTCTATCATTCATGGGCATTTGGGTTGGTTCCAGGTCTTTGCTATTGTACACAGGGCTGCAATGAACATACGTGTGCATGTGTCTTTATAGCAGAACGATTTATAGTTCTTTGGATATATACCCAGTAATGGGATTGCTGGGTCAAATGGAATTTCTATTTCTAGGTCCTTGAGAAATCACCACACTATCTTCCACAATGGTTGAACTAATTTACACTCCCACCAACAGTGTAAAAGTGTTCCTATTTCTCCATATCCTCTCCAGCACCTGTTGTCTCCAGATTTTTAATGATCACCGTTCTAACTGGCATGAGATGATATCTCAGTGTGGCTTTGATTTGCATTTTTCTAATGACCAGTGATGATGAGCATTTTTTCATATGTTTGTTGGCCTCATATATGCCTTCTTTTGAAAAATGTCTGTTCATATCCTTCACCCACTTTTGAATGGGGTTGTTTTTTTCTTTTATATCTGTTTAGTTCTTTGTAGATTCTGGATATTAGCCGTTTGTGAGATGGGTAGATCGCAAAAATTTTTTCCCATTCTGCTGGTTGCCAATTCGCTCTAAAGATTGTTTATTTTGCTGTACAGAAGCTCTGGAGTTTAATTAGATCCCATTTGTCTATCTTGGCTTTTATTGCCATTGCTTTTGGTGTTTCAGTCGTGAAGTCCTTGCCTATGCCTACGTCCTCGATGGTTTTGCCTACGTTTTCTTCTAGTGTTTTTATGGTGTTAGGTTTTATGTTTAAATCTTTAATCCATCTGTAGTTAATTTTAGTGTATGGTGCAGGTAGGGGTCCAGTTTCTGTTTTCTGCACATTGCTAGCCAGTTTTCCCTACACCATTTATTAAACATGGAGTCCTTTCCCCATTGCATGTTTTTGCCAGGTTTGTCAAAGATCAGATGGTTGTAGATGTGTGGTGTTTCTTCAGGGGTCTCTGTTCTGTTCCATTGGTCTATGTCTCTGTTTTGGTACCAGTGCCATTCTGTTTTGATTACTGTAGCCTTGTAGTATCGTTTGAAGTCCAGCAGTGTGATGCCTCCAGCTTTGTTCTTTTTGCTTAGGATTGTCTTGGCTATGCGGGCTCTCTTTTGGTTCCATATGAAGTTTAAAGTGGTTTTTTCCAGTTCTGTGAAGAAGGTCCTTGGTAGCTTGATGGGGATAGCGTTGAATCTATAGATTACCTTAGCATTATGGCCATTTTCACGATATTGATTCTTCCTAACCATGAGCATGGAATGTTTCTCCATCTGATTGTGTCTTCTCTTATTTCCTTGAGCAGTGGTTTGTAGTTCTCCTTGAAGAGATCCTTTACATCCTTTGTTAATTGTATTCCTAGGTGTTTTCTTCTCTTTGTAGCAATTTGAATGAGAGTTTGCTCTTGATTTGGCTCTCTGTTTGTCTGTTATTGTTATATAGGAGTACTTGTGATTTCTGCACATTGATTTTGTATCCTGAGAGTTTGATGAAGTTGCTTATCAATTTGAGATTTTGGGCTGAGACGATGGGATCTTCTAGATACACAATCATGTCATCTGCAAATACAGACAATTTGACTTCCTCCTTTCCTAACTGAATATATTTTCTTTTTTTCTTGCCTGATGCTCTGGCTAGAACTTCCAATACTATGTTGAATAGGAGTGGTTAGAGAGGGCATCCTTGTCTAGTGCCTGATTTCTAAGGTAATGCTTCCAGCTTTTGCCCTCAGTATGATATTGGCTGTGGGTTTCTCATATATATCTTTTATCATTTCATGATATGTTCCATCAATACCTACTTTATTGAAAGTTTTTAGCATGAAGTGCTGTTAAATTTTATTGAAGGCCTCTGTATCTATCGAGATAATCATGTGGTTTTTGTCTTTGATTCAGTTTCTGTGATGGATTACATTTATGGATTTGCATATGTTGAACCAGCGTTGCATCCCCAGGATGAACCCTACTTGGTCATGATGGATAAGCTTCTTGATGTGCTGTTGCAATCTGTTTGCCAGTATTTTATTGAAGCTTTTTGCATCGATGTCTATCATGGATATTAGCCTGAAGTTTTCTTTTTTAGTTGAGTCTCTGCCTGGTTTTGGTATCAGGATGATGTTGGTCTCATAAAATGAGTTAGGGAGGATTCCCTCCTTTTGTATTGTTTGATGCAGTTTCAGAAGGAATGGAAGCAGCTCCTCTTTGTACCTGTGGTAGAATTTGGCTGTGAACCCGTCTGGACCTGGACTTTTTTTGGTTGGTAGGCTATTGAATGCTGCATCTACTTCAGCCCTTGTTACTGGTGTATTCAGGGTTTCAACTTCCTCCTGGTTTAGTCTCAGTAGAGTACAAGTGTCTAGGAATTTATCCATTTCTTCCTGGTTTACTGGTTTATGTGAGTAGAGCTCTTTGTAGTAATCTCTGACGTTTTCTTAAATATTACCTATAGTCATAAACATTTACTTTTCCAGATATCACTCACTGAGTAACTGCAATTATGCAGAACATCAATAACAAAAAGCAAAGTACACACATATACACACACAGATCTTCTGAATAGTGAAGACAGATATCACTGAATATCTGTCTCAGAACGATTCTTGTAACTGTAAGTATTTGGCCCAGTGCCTGGTCCACAGTAGGCCCTCCATAAATGTTTAGCTCTGATTATGATTCTGTGAGTGTCTTGGCAGCCACTCAGAAATTGATTACTCTTAGTTTACATACAATTTCTTCTATTTAGCATTTTTATTTACCTTCCTTCATAACAGATTAAAATGGAGGAATGGGAATACAGTTGAAGATAGATACTTAAGAGGAAATAAAAAACTGGTATCAAACACACAGAAAAAAACTCCAACTGAGACCATTTAGTGTAGGGCAAACAGCCCTCCATGTTTCCGGAGATTCTGGAGATAATTGTAGCATAGTACAATTCCTTAATAACACAGGATCATCCAGAAAGATTCTGTGATATGTTGTGTCCTCTATTTAAAGTGTCAAGGAAACATTTGCTACAATTTTAAAATATATATCTCAAAACTTTAAGTTTATAAAAGTTTTGGCACAGAGAAGTTACAAATTATCTGGAAACTTGACATGAAAAATCATATTATCCACAGCGCCATAAGCATGACACATTATATCAAGGGGACATTTCAACTAAATATAAGGAGATCCTATTCCATTGGCATTGGCTAATTACAGATCCTTTTAGTTTCAATTATCAGTGTGAGACTATCTATGATCTATGGTATTTCTAGACAGAGATCATTATTTTTCATAAGGCACAATAACTTCTTCATGCTATTTGACATCAAATTGAATTTGGTAATAGAATTGCCTCATTTCTTGAAACCAGCAATGTGCATGTGTGTACGATACATGGCGCTGAGTGCGTGTCTCAGCATAGGGAGGAGGATGAGCATGTGTTGCTTTGCCTATCTGTGGCAAAGAATATGTTTTCCTCCCCAGACAGTTAAAATCCTTACTAACTTTTACCCTGAGAGGTGCAGTTCCCTGCTATCCTATACAGTAAAGCTAACCCTACACAATAAATTATCTTACTCTCCCTGTATAGAAGAAAATCTTAAGTCACCGATTAAGTGACTTTTCATAGCATCACATCCCCAGATAGTTCTTCGAAGGGAAATTTCTATTAACTATGTTTGGAGGCTGAGAAAGCAAAATGGTAAAGAAACAAAAGCACATGATATTTCTTAGACGGCTCTCTTCAAGTCCTGATTTTTCACAAGCTGATTCTTCTTTTGAACCCCCACCAAATGAGAAAGTTTATATTTAGGCAGCACGCAAACTGCAACCAATTTAACCTTGGAGAGGCCGCTTTGGCTTCCAGGGGTTGGTTCACACCACCTTTGGCAGATTCATAACCCCGCTCCTTCACTCCTTGCTCCTCTTCATTTTGGTAATGCCCCACACATGTCAAATTTCCAGCAAATGGTAATCAGGTGCCGTTTTCAATAAGTTTATTATGACAATTGCCTGACCAATAGAAACAATGCATCTTGAAGAAGAGGCATCTATTTTTCCTTTCTCACAAAGGTGCCTAGTAGGCTCAAGGCAATCTTGGGGCGTGAGGGCTAGGCAGTTTAGGAAATATAAGGATAAATAAGATGAAGTGGTATATAAAATAAATTTTAAATATCCCTGAGGGTGGGGGCAGTAGGACCAGGATCTGCTTCTTTTCACATCCCGCATGGCTGAGCTGGGAGGCTCCTTCATTTGCAATGAAGAATCCGTGTCCTGTCCACCCCCAACTTGGTGTTCATGCTGGTGCCTGGTTTTAGATGTTGCTGTCAGGCCCTCAGGGAACACAGTATTCACCAGGATTTTGATGGATAAGAATCAGTTCTCCACCATTCACATAGAAGTCATCCGGGGAGGTATTGTCAGTAGTCACATTCAAGTAGACTTTGTCTTTGTAAGTCAGAGAGGCCACCATCAAGGAGTTGACAGACCTGACCTTTTTCAGTTGAAAGAGGGGCTCCTCATGCTCCTGGTAATGCAGGCTGATGCTGATGTTCTGGGAGAAGTAGCCCTTCAGGGAGATGAGATAAAACCCATCACAGTTGATGACGATTGAGTTGTTTTGCACCTTCATCATTTCATCCTCCTTTTGGGATATGAGGATGAAACCTTTCTCCTTCTTATATTCTAGGGAGGATAGAGAAATTTTTTTATTAATTCCTAGGCATAGTACTGGGTAACAACTTTCCAATACATCTGGAATCAGATGAAGAGAAAGTGATAGGGAGAGATTTTGAAAAGAGTAAAAGCAGTGAGCTGAGATCACGCCACAGCACTCCAGCCTGGGTGACAGAGTGAGAGTGTCTCAAAAAAAAAAAAAAAAAAGAAAAATGATAGAGTAAAGGTAAGAGAGCACTGTGTTTCTACCTGTGGGGTGGAATCTGCCTTACCTGTGGAATGGAAGAAGAGGCTATGCTAACACTAGTAGCCAAGAGAGTCTCAGATGGGGCTGAGATTCAGGAGCTGAGATATTACAGAAATTATCGCAAAACACCTATGGCAGGAAAGTTTCCTAATTTTAGAGTTTCCTAATTTTTCAGAACAGGGGTGGATTGGCAAGGATTCAGTGCCTCCTTTCTTGCTCAGTGGATAAACTATGAGCAAAGGGTGGCCGTGGTACCCTATGCCTTGGCCCTGCACACTACCCATGCTTTGAAGCTTGACTCAACGCAGTTGTTTTCAACTCTTTACTATTCTGTCTCCATCTGACCATGAAATGCAAATTTTCCACATGCCCCAGGCATTGGACCTATCCACAGCAGTTACTAATGGCCTTTACCAGCAGTAGCTTAGGCTGTGCACAGCTGCATTATTAAGCTTATCTGTGGATTCAGGATGGGCTCCCAAAGCTGCAGGTGGAAGAGCTCAAGGGCACAGACTTGCTTCTCTTCTCTACCCCCTATTGCTAGTTTTTCCTGAAAGGTACTTTGAGAACAGTCACTGCCACCGGAGAAAGAAAAGGAGGAAGAGTAGGAGGAGGCAGTGATAAGTTTGGTTATTTTGTGCGGGGCCATTTCAAGTGCAAGCCAAAAATCTTGAATTCCTTTTATTTCCATATTAGCACTAATATCATCCTCAATAGCCAAGTCATTGATGTGAATCAACTAAACTTTTGACAATACTTACCAGTAAATTGTACTTTGATACTTTGAATTCGAGGATACTGATGTGGTACCTGAGGGAGGAAGAAACATATATTTATAGGAAAAATATCATGAACAAATGAAATTCACAAGTCATATTCAATGGAACAGCAAAGCAGAAAAGCAGTAGCCTGTAGAGAAAAAAAAACAACAAAAGATTTGACTTTTTTTTCTTGAGTCAGGATCTTACTCTTACACCCAGGATGGAGTACAGTGAGTGACATTATCACAGCTCACTGCAGCCTCGACCTCCCTGGGCTCAGTGATCCTCCCACTTCAGCCTCCTGTGTGGCTGGGACTATAGGCACGCACCACCACAGCTGGTTAATTTTTGTATTTTGGGGTTTTAGCGGGGTAGAGATGGGGTTTTGCCATATTGCCCAGGCTGGTCTCAAGCTCCCGACAGCAGGCAATCCTGTCACCCAGCCTCCTGAAGTGCTGGGATTATAGGCATAAGCCACCATGCCTAGCCCTGACTTTTTCTATGAAAATTGGACCTAGACTTTAACCTGCCTCTTGCTTTCCCATAGCATCTCAAGATAAATTAGGAGTATTGTGCTCTTTTATGCAAGTATCTGAGATCTGTCCTTATTTCAGCCAGACTTTTCTTTGGTATACTGTTTTGTCTCACTGTGTCCCAATTTCCCATTTTGTATAACATAGCATTATACTCATAATTTGAACTAAGTCAGTACTCAATTGCAAAAGAAAAAGAAGTAAAACAGTGAAGAAAGGAAACCTGATAGATAAAATGTTGATAGTACTTTTGTAGTTAAAAGAACAAAGAAGCTCAATATGAAGCCAACTCCAAGATCTATTAAGTAAAAAAAAACGGGGGGGGGGCAAAATTATACATAAAGTATATTGCCATTTGTGTTAAATAATAACAACACCTATATGGTCATTAAAAGAGTATATATTAACATATCTGAAAGAATACACAAGATATTAATTGCAAATGTTGTCCCTGGGGGAAAAAATTGGAAGCCTGAAGTCAGGAGTAACATTAACCTTCACTTTTCATGGTCTGCTTTTAAAAAAAAAAAAAAAAAATGTGCCATGTGTTTGTATTACCTACTAAAAAAGAAAACAGAAAAAAGTGGCTGCTGGGTGCAGTGGCTCACGCCTGTAATCCCAGCGCTTTGGAAGCCCAAGGCCGGTGGATCAGCTGAGGTCAGGAGTTCGAGACCAGCCTGGCCAACATGGTCAAACCCCGTCTCCACTAATAATAAAAAATTATCTGGGCATGGTGGTGCATGCCTATAATCCCAGCTACTTGAGAAGCTGAGGCAAGAGAATCACTGAAACCTAGGAGGCAGAGGTTGTGGTAAGTCAAGATCACACCAATGCACTCCAGCCTGGGCGACAGAGCAAGCGAGATTCCATCTAAAAAAAAAAAAAAAAAAGTGTCTGTTATGCCTGCCAAGAACAACAATTCTTCCCACAAGGTTATTTTGGCATGATGTTCTAATCAAAGATGTGGAGAGGGATTTGTTTTCATGCCCTGGGTAGTGGAATTCCTGCTTCCCACTCTCCTGGCACACTGGTAACTGCAGTCAAGTATATTCCACTGGTACCTGCCCACACAGACAAGGAATTCCCTATTTCTATTATAAGTATGATCACAAACCTTACCAAGCTAAAACCAACAGGCAGCATAGGAAGAAGGGAGAGCCGTTCTGAGCCCTGCCAGGGACTGGGCTGCAGAAGCAATATGAGTTCAATGTGCTGAGCACATGGAGAGAGGTGCTGACGGGTAGAAGCAGGAGTATACTCTCCCCTCTGTGTACTGTTCATGGCGTGGTGGCTAATTAGTGTTCTTTGTGCTCAAGGGCAAGGCTCTGGAAGACCTGTCAAAAGGCAAATTACCCTACCACCATAGTTCCCTGGGTAAATAAATGTCTCCACTGCTCTCTGGGCTAGTTGGTGCCTGCATGAATTGCCACTTGCTAAAGTCAGAAAGAAGCCATCTGTGGAGTAGCGTAAACGCCACAGGGCTAATGGCAGGCAGGCACTGTGCCAACATACGCAAGCTTCATAATCTCCTTAGCAGCTTCTCGTCTTTAAAACTCACTAGAAGATCAGAGGCATTCCTTTCAGCGCTAGCTTTCCATGATTTAGATTTTAAAAGTTGTGGCTTTAAGTCTAATTTAATAAAAGAGAAAAAACATAAAGCTTCCTCATTCCCAAATTTACTTTCACTTCCTGATCTAAAAGCCCTTGTGATGTGATTATTTTGATGGACTTTGCAAAGCTTCAAAAATATCCTGCAGATTAAAGAATGTTCTAGCTTTTTGAAGGACCCTGATGAGGTAAGGGTGATAGTGACCAGACTTGCTCTGGGACCATGATGCTGACAGGCAGTGAGTGAGCAAAGTGCATGTGACTTCCTCCGGGTTGGAGTCTGGACTTCCAGTAGATCAACCTGGAGGAAGCTGATCTACTGGAACTCCAGACTCAGGCATCCTGTTCCTTCTCCTGAAGGTCACGTAGGGTTAGAAATTTGTCTACCCTCAGAAGTTTCTTACTAACATCAATACCATCAAATTTAAGCAATGTTGTGAAGTAGAAAAAGATGGTTCTTCCTCTTGTTCATTGGCATTCCAACCATCTCTCCCCTCATCCTCTATACCCAATGACCTCATGCCGACTACCCCAGTGCCCAGAGATACCCCCACAGTGCCCAAGTGAAAGCGCTGAAGAGCCTGGCTCCAACCTCATTGTCAAGCTTTATTGCCTCATGTATCCTTTCTATGTCTGATGATCTAGCCAACTACTTGCTCTGATCTCCTTGCACTTGGATAGAGAGCCTGGTAGGATGGCACAACGACCATAGACTTTGGAGTCAGATTTAGTTCAAACTGTGACTTCTTTGGAAAAGTTATACCATTTCTTAGCTTTAGCCTTTATACATGTGGAAATAAGACATAATTGTGTTACTGGAACATTCCAGAAGAGGAACATCAAGCTTAGATAGGATAACTTAAAGAATCCAGGAGTTTGCCAGCACATGGTACATGGTAAGCATTTGAAAAATATAGGTCGGATGCAGTGGCTCACGTCTGTAATCCCCGCATTTTGGGAGGCCAAGACAGGCAGGTCACATGAGGTCAGGAGTTCAAGACCAGCCTGGCCAACATGGCAAAATCCCATCTCTACAAAAAATGCAAAAATTGGTGAGATGTGGTGGCATGCACCTGTAGTCTTAGCCACTTGGGAGGCTGAGGCACAAGAATCGTTTGAACACGGGAAACAGAGGTTGCAGTGAGCCAAGATCACACCACTACCTCTAGCATGTCACCCCATCTGTCTCTGCTCATCAAAATCTTGCCACCTTTTAGGCCTAAATCAATCCTTGAGTTTCAGTTTCTGTATTCCCATGCAAGTATTTAAAGTCATTCATTCATGCAAATGTTTATAGTAGCTTTGTTCATAATTGTCAAAACTTGGAAGCAGCCAAAATGTCCTTCAGTAGGAGAATGGATAAATAAAGTGATACAACCATACAATGGAACATTATTCAGCACTAACATAAAATGAACTATCAAGCTATGAAAAGACATGGAGGAATCTTAAATGCATAATTATGTAAGAGAAGCCAATCTGAAAATGGTATATACTGAATGACCTAACTATATGACATTCTGGAAAAAGCAAAACTATGGAGACTAAAAAGATCAGTGGGTACCAGGGGTTAGAAAAAGAGGGGGGAGAAATAAATAGGTAGAGGACAGGGTAGTGAAAGTATCCTGTATGATTCTATAACCATGAATACATGCCATTATACACTTGTCAAAACACTGTATATATATAGAATGTACAACACTGACAGTTAACCCCAATATTTAAAAAAATCACTCTATTGACTTATGAAATGCCAGTGAATAAAAGTCTTATCTCCTCTACTCAAGACTACTTAGCTGTGTAACCTGGGGTAAATTGCATTTAATTGCTGATTTTTGGAGACAGCAAAAATTTATATATGGTAAAGTTTGAATGAAATGATGTATACCACTGATCAGGACCTGGCATGGAATATTGCAAAAAGTTAATAAACATTAGCAATTACTCATGGATGCACATGGAAAACAAAAGCCATGTCATGTTCATAATTTATTCTACATGCTATATAAACTTTATATATCACAACAGAATGAAGAAATGAATTAAAGAAAAAAACGAAGACTGACAAAGTCATCATATCAGTGCCCTGACTCTCTGTAGCTCAGAGAAACAATAAAAAAGAATTTGGTTTTCATGAGAAATATTGACAGAAAACAATCAGAAGACATTTGGTCAAACCCCACACACAGACTTAGTGTTCTGTATATCAAGAAAAGCAAAATACCCAGATCTCCACATACTCAAAGAAAACAGAAAATATCAAAGGGCCTGGGGGCTTCCATCTAAGAAGAGTCTATAGAATAAAGCTTTTTCAGTCTGGAAGGTCTGAAGAGTCCACACCATATTCAAGGATGAAACACAAATGCTCCTAAGTATCCATGCCAGAATTGAAGTATAGCCCTGAATTTGGAATGAAATGGTCTTAGAAGCATGAAAAAATGCAAAATAAGTCATATTCCAGTTGAATATTATATTTTGTGGATGAAGAAATTAAGGCCCACAGAAATGAAGAGATTTGATCCATGCCCTTCAGTTTCAGTATAATTTTTATTATACCACACAAGTATCATTTTTTCCCATGCAAATATGAAGTAAGGAAACACTTCTATGAAGATTTTATTAATATTCCATTCCTTGTGTCCACTTTAATAACAATCTTAGAGAAAAGAAGAAGTTGCCATGCTGATGATTGGCAATGGCCTCACCATGAGAAAGAATAGGAAGAACCCACACTCCAGGCTTCCCTCTTGGGTTTCAGGGCGCCCATAAGTGAAGAAAAAAAAATAGGAACAATCAAGAACCCACTTGGCAAATATGAGCTACTTCACCAAATGACTGAATAATGTAATGTACAAGCGTCATCTCTGGGAGCAGCTGATCATGCAACAGGAAGGTTACCAGCCCAGTG